AGGGGAAAGGGCAGGATGGAGTAGCCCAGGACACGTTAACCACCTTACAGCTCCCTGTAGGAAGGGGCAATTCCTGGGACAGGTTATCTTGGCAACAGGTTGGAGCAGGGGCAGGTTCTTGATTAAGGGTGGAGGAAGGGCTCTGAAGGAATTAAAGTTTCAATCCCTCAGGGCACAGTCTTCAACTTGGGGACTCACTCAAAATTGGCCTGACTCGATTTACTTACCTGTACTGACTGCCAGTCTCATTCTGGCTTCAGTTTTAACTTGATTACCCCTGTAAAGGCCCAGTCTCCAAGAAAGGCCACATTCTGAGGTTCTAGAAGTTAGGACTTCAGTGTACAAACTTTTTCAGAGGTATATATACAATTCAATCTAAAACAATTACCAAGAAGGGAAAATATACCAGTAAGTATTTGAAATATTCTTGCTATCTCATAATGTTATATTTGCACATTAGGATGGAGTGAGAGTGCTGTCAATACTCTTTGGATGATTGATTTTGATGGCTTTAAATGGAATTGGAAGTTTTCATCATTTTCTTACATTGTCACTCTGGGGACATTCTAAGGAAATAATTCTATTGGTGAAGTTTTAGACTAGGATGTGATTGGAAGTGGCAGACCCTAGGCTCTATGAGATTCCATATCTTTTAAGAAGTGAGAAAAGGGGGGCAAGAGATGGAGCTGATGCTACATTTTCCCCCAGGAAGCCCTTGGCATCAGATGAGACCCTGATGTATCTTGATAGGAGAACTACAAGGAGAGTGTTTGAGCCAAAGAGGAGGCAGGAGTGAGAAGAGTTTATTGCAGAGATTTAGGCAAGTAATTTCGTTTGTGGGAGTCTGACGGTGATGATAATGAGAATGGTTGCTCCATTTACTGAGCAATCATGTGCCAGGCAATCCAAGTACTTATTCATTTGCAATTCTGCAGAGGCAGTGTCTTATAGTGGTTGAGAACATGGACTGGGAACTCCAGAATTGGCCCTGACTGACTTTGAATCCTAGTTCTGACATTCATTCCCTGGATTATTTTGGATAAAATTTATTTGTTCTATCTTGTTTTAGTTTTCTCATCTGCAAAATGGACTTGATAATAATAGTATCTATCTTCTAGGGTTATTGTAATAATAAAATGAATTCATGTATGGAAAGAGCTAGAAGAGAAAGAGTCACAAAATAAGCACCATACAAGTATTACTTACTAGTATTAAAAGTGAGATACTAGGTGTTGGGGAATCAAAGTTAACTGAGATATATACTTTGCCCTGAAGAAATTCACAATTCATAGAAGAAAATAAGTAATACATATTGTCCCTGACATATTAAGCATAATGAATAGGACATGGTGGGATTTCATAAGAAGGCTTTGCATTTACCTAATTCATGCTATGGACCTCAGAGAGGGCTTTCTGGAGGAGATGGGACCAGGTTTGGATTTTAAATGATAAATAAACCACCTAGGCCAGTGTTTTCCAAACTGTAGCATGTACCAGAATTACATATAGAACATATTAAAATATGTTAAAATCTAATTTGTCTATGTGGGAAGGGGAATGTGCATTTGCATTTCTTCTAAGATACTGCTGTGGACTGCTCTAGATCTAGATGAAGTGGCACTGACCTACGTGAAGAAGAGAACTAGGGTAGGGATGTTCTGAGTAGGGAGTACAGGTAAGGATCTGTAAGGGGTCCAATATTGCTAATCTATACAGAGTGAGGAGTGTTAGAAGGAAAGAGAAAACCACAGTCATGTACACAAGGCCATCAAAGGCCTTATTCTGTCTTGGGAGCCTGGACTTGATGCTGGAGTCATAAGAGTATTGGAGATTATGTAGGAGAGTAGCAGTATCAGATTTTCAACCTAGAAATAACCCCCTACCAGTGGAAGGGAGAATGAACTTCAAGGGGAAAATTCAGAAAGTAGAAAGATTAGTCATTCTTACTGTTACTCAGTTAAGAAAGCATGAAGTCCCATATTAGTCATTTTCTGTTGTTTTAACAAAAACCCTGAGACTAGTAACTTTATAAAGAAAAAGTTTATTTAACTTACTGTTTTGGAGGTTGAAAGTCCACAACTGGGAGATCTGTCTGTTCATCCTTGAATGAAAACCTCCCTGGCTATGCCACAACATGGTAGAAATGGAAAAGGAGAAATAGTCACAGGCAGAAAGGATCAAGTGTGTGAGATGTCCTGGCTTTATAACAACCTTATTACCTGAGCACTAACTCACCTGAGAGACCACCCTTAATGCCTCCCAAGGACCATGCCCCCATGATGTAATTATTTTCTTTTAGAAACCACTTTTTAAAGGTTCCACCACCTGAACACCATCATACAAGGACCAAGCTTCCAGCAACATAACATTTTGGGAAACACACTCCAACCATTTCCAAACTATAGCAAGACCCAAACTAGGAGAAGAGGGGACAGAGACTAGACATATTAGGGAGACAGTTTGACAGCATTTTGAGGTCCAATTAGATATAAAAACTCAGTGATAAGGGGGAGTTAGTAATGGTTCCTGTGATTTGGATATGAGTTACTGGAATAGGGAAAGGGTGGTAGTAGAGGAAGACGAGTTGATACATTCACTTTTGGGATGTGTTAGGTTTGAAGTGCCCAAAAGATATTTAAAAGGAGATGAATTATGGCATGAGCCATTATGCTTTATACACAGTGTGTTTAGTTTTCAACTAACAATGCAAGCAGGCATCATGTACCCCCATTTGACAGACAAGGAACTAAAATCCACAGAGATTAAGTGGTATACTGAAGCTCAAGGTCAATATTTGATATATATGATTCCAAATCCAAGCACCCAAAATGGTTCTAGTCACTTTCTCACAGATTGCTAAAGCAGCCAAGGGGCCACTGCCCTTCACTCAGAACATGAATTCTCTGCATTGGTCCTGATGTGTAACCTTGTATTTCATACCCTGAACATGAGCCACAGGCTATTAGTGTTTAAAATAACATTAGTTCCTAGGATGGCTATCTGTCAGACCTGGGTTAGGGCTTGCCTTTCAGCAAGGTTTAAAATACATTTGAAATGACCTTAATATCAAGTCAGAACTCACCAGAACATTGGAGAACTCTCTGCTTTGAGGGTTTATAATATGGCCAGAGTTGGTAGATTTCTTTAAAAATTAAAACTTGTTAATGTTTTCTGCTTGTAAATATAAGAATCTATATATTGAATGCTAAAAATGATTTAATACCAACTTTGGGTGTTTTTAGTTACAGAAGGGTAAACAGGACTCTAATGTCTTCTGACCCAAACACAGTTTCAATGAAATAATCTACACATTGTATGGTAAAAACAATATAATTTCAATTTTGGATATTTTAAGATATAGAGAAGTGAAGAGAAATCTAATAGCTTCTAACTCAAACACAGTTTCAAGCTAAAACAAGAAATTTTGTGGGCTATTAGTTCTTAATGGAAATTAGTGCCTTAGCTATTTTTTTATAAGTGTATAAATGCACTAAACCGGCAAGATACAGAGATTTAAACCACAGCACAGTTATCTCCAGTCTGCATGCAGAACAGCTGTCTTCAATGAACACTCCGTACACATAGATTCTATAGAATGCTAAAAGCCATTGGATATTCATCAATGAAACCTGAGGTCCTTGCCCTCTGTGGTGGGATACAAAACAGGGCCACGAATCTGAGTCTAGTTTTGGCTGGAGCACTAACTAGGAGATTGGCATCAAGACTGGATGTTTCTTTCTAATAAGAAATAGGAAAGAAGAGAGATTCAAAATAGACTGTTACAATGTTTTCTGCTTGAGGAAGTGAGGCGGTGAAATGCCTTCCCTGTAGACACAGATGTCCGTGGGTGAATTAAAAGACAGGAAAATGGAGAGTGGGAATGCCATCTTATCTGCAGCTTTAAGTGAGCAAAACCATAAATAAAGGTTATTTGCTTCTAATGTAGGAGTTAAGGATTTTTTTTTTTTTAGCAATAGGTACTATGACAAAGTTTGAAATTTTTTTCATTTAGCAATTATTATTTTAATTGTACAAAGTTATGTAAGTCAGGGCGACCATTTGGTTTTGTTTAAAAGAATCTGAATTCTGTAGGCACAAAGACTACCTTAAAATTCCACCAATGCCATTTCTGTGATCAGGAGCATTTTTTAAAAAACCTTTTCTAGATCTGCATTTTTTCAACTTATAAAATTGCAATAATACACCTACTTCAAAGTATTATTGTGGGCATTACATGTTTTTAAAGTGCTTAGCCTAACACCTGGTCCGGGACACACACGCATGCAGTACCAGTGTTTACTATCATTCTTTCTATTTGAGCATATCTAGTAAAAGGCAGGTGGCCTGTCCTTCCAAGATACCTTGGTTCCTTTTGTTCTGCCTTCTTCTAGAAAATCACTGGTTGCCCCTGGGCTAGAGCCAGGAAATTCACTTCATGAACATTCTTCTCCACTCAGTCAACATCCTCTGATAAAAGCACAGTTCTTTTTCTTTCTCCCTTCTTTTCTAGTTGTATCTTGTGCCAGCTGGAGTGACAATGAACTTAGTCCAACCGGGCCATTTACCCTGCAACGTTGCCATTCTTTTATCTAGCTCCATAAACCCTCCAATAGAAGAAGTGTGCATAGAAGCAATGCTTAACTGAGCTGTGCCACATCGCTGCTAGGCTGTCATTCCTTTATAATCTTTTTGACCACTCCTTGCTCACCTTCTTGTCATTTATCTTTTTGTTTCTTATCTTTACAGAGTGCTTTCTTTTCTAGTCACCGGGACAACTTTGTCTTGCTGAAAGCATCCACGATCCGTCTCTATCGTCTCAGCTGCAAATGTTGAACTCTTCATTAGCTGGTTTAAAAATTTTGTTGCTTCTTCTGCACATTTCCATTACTGCACTAAGGTTGGTATGCTTGATTCTGCACTAAAAGTTGTAGATTGACAAATATTGAATATCTTTAAAAGTTAAATTGCTAAATAATCTGTTCTCACTCTTTCCTACCCAGCTTCCTTCATGAAGGATCTGGATAACCCTGAGTTCTACTGGAGGCTTCCGTCAGAGGCTTCCACAGTGACCATTCTGGGGAAAAGGTGCCTTTCTCATCACTGTGATTGACATTCTCACTGGCCACACCTGTAGTGTGTCACACAATGTGTTGTTTATGGCTTAAGGAAATGTTTAGGTACTGATTCAATGTTATTTTTTTTCTTCCCTCTTTCAGGGTCAGAACCACATTATAAGGAATCCTAAAGCTTAGGCAATATTTGAGACTTCTTTAAAAAAAAGAATTCAAAATAAATAAATAAATACTAAGTTAATATTTATCTAAAATGAAAAGAGAAATGTCAGCGAGTTCCAATTTTTAAAATTGGACAAAATCACAATCATTGATTTAGAAAAATAACATATCTCTTTATTAACTTATTCCTTGGTAATATTTATTTTTATTTACATTTTTGCTTACATGTTCCTTAACTGCCTCTTTATGGGAAAAAAATCATGTAACTTTCTATATTTGTTGAGAGGAAAACTAAATTCATCCTTTCCCCTTGCACAATTGATGAAAATTTGTATCTATCAACACTTTAGAAAATTTCTTTTTGCTATACTTTTTGTTATCAGCAGTGTCGTGATAAGGCACAGTAGAATGCATAAAACATTTGGATCCACTCACAGAAATATTTACTGTTTATAGCACTGTTATAGGTTTTTCCCTATAAACATAGGGATGCTGATAAATTTTATTTGGTACAATTCTCATTAAAAGAAAAAAATATATATAAGATGCTTTGTAATGGCATAGTCTGCATTCAATAAAATATTCCTGAGAAGAGAGAACTTACATTTTGACTAGGTATTAAACATACTCTCTGCTTAAAATTTTATGTATCTGATGCTTGAAAGACTTTTTCAAAGAGTAGCTCTGCCTCCATACATTTCAACCTCTTTCTCACTCACTATTAAAATCCTTTATTGAGCCAGGCACTGTAGGCCACATTCATATGGTGACATTATCTGGTATATGAGACCTTTCTACAATGAGGCTGGGGAGTTGACACAAAGGGCAGAAGGAATTTTCCTAAAAGTCATTCCTATATGAGGATGGTATATATAACAACTATACATGCAAATGATTTCATATTATTTAAATATATTCTGCAAAGTCCAAACAAATAAATCCTAAACTTGACTTAATCTTGGGTGGATGTGAAATTACCAACAGCCACCACAATGCTACTCCCCACGAGGACACATGTAAGAGAAGGCAGTCAGAGTGAAGAGAGACAGGTCTTAGCTGATTGCAGTTACAATAGCTTCTGAAATTTTCTCATAATTACAAATCATTGCTAGAGAGCTTCTTTTCTTGGTGACGTGTTATTCATTCATCTTTTCAGAGTACATTATGATCATGTGATACATATGTACGATGCATAACAATCTAATCAGAGTAATAAGAATTTCCATCTCTTCAAACAGTGATCATCTTATGGGTTAGGAATTTTATATTCTTCTTTTGTAGTCATTTTGAAAAATATAATAGATTGTTTGAACTTGTGTCCTCTTAAGGTCTTGGGAAGACCTAAGCAATTGAGGAGCCCTGAAGCATAAGTTTTATTAGTCTTATGGTAAATACACATCTGTGCTGCCTCCCTACTTACCTGTTTGCCTCCTTACATTCCTCTAAGTCTTCATTTTTTCCTTCCTTTTTACTTTTTCCCCTCCTTCTTTTGTTCCATTGCAGAATAATTAAAAACATAGTGATTAAAAGTGATTGCATGGATTTACATCTGTGTTTATCACCTTACCATGTGTGTCTTTGAGTGAGTTGCTTAACCTCTCTGAATTTGAATTACCTCTTACTGGTTCCATGAGTTACAAGCATTAAGATAATATGTGTAAATCATTTAACTGACACATATTGAGTGCCAAAGAAATGTTTGTTGCACCACATAGATACAAAAGAGAAGTCACTCTCCTTAAGGATGTAAGGCAAACATAAATGAAAAATTATTTCATAACTTTTCATAATTGGTAAATGCTCTCATAGCAGGAAGTCCATGTTCCAGAAAGATAAAGTTGTGCAGAATGTCAAATAAATTCAATGTCAAATGATTGAAGTTGCCCACTACTTTAGTAATTCAATACTAAAAAGTCATTGAATTAGGTACTTAAAATGCTTGTATTGTATGGAATATGAATTGTATCTCAATAAAATTGTCACGTACATAGGTGATATAGCCTTGGGCTAAATGTATAGAGGGTATACACAAAAGAACTTGGGGTCAAATCAAACACTGAAATCTAGGAGAAGAGGAGGAGAAGGAGATATATGTGTGAGGGATTAATACAAAGAAAGGAAGGGCATGGATGCTGGAAAATGTCTACTCACTTATACTAAAATAGCAATTTTCAAGCTATACCTTCTGGGAACACAATAAACTAGACCTTGGATTTAATTCACCAAAATCGACACGTGGATATCATTGTACTCTTCTCCTCTTCTCACAAAATTAAGTATAGAGATAAAATTTTCTCAACTTAGTTTTATCTCAGTCTAAAATTTTAAACAAATATTTAGGATCTGAATGGTGCTGTTTTGGTAAAAATGCTAGCATATAATGTAACCAAGGAATGCTCAGCAAATGAATATTCAACAGAAAATTCTTCAAGTAACTGTGGCAGACATCATTAGTTGGCTTGCACAATTGCCTTGATTTCCTTTGTTGTTACCCTCTATACTTCAGACAATAGAAGCTTAAATGTTCAAATTATCAACCTTTCTTGATAAAGTTTTATAAGTAGATTTGAGCTGAAGATTTTCTAGAAAAGATTTTGCTTTTCTGATGGGGCTCTACAGGGCTGGTAACATACTTTCTTCCCTTCTTACTGTCTTGAATACAGATAGATTGCCTGTAATTTTCAGACCAAGAAGGAAGACCAAGAGAACTGTGGAGACACTGGCCCTGTCATCACAGATCCACAGAAACAATGCTGTCAGCCACAGGGTTAGCACACACACACACAAAATCAAATCTCTTGTTACTATATCCAGGATCAGTGGAAGTATAAAGTTTTGAAGAGATAACTTTTTATGCCACTTAAGAGTTTTCATTGAGGTACTAAACGGGAAGTCAGGGACTTTGAGTCTTTTATCCAAATTATCTATGTGACCTTGGCTAAGTTACTTAACCTCCATTTTCTCATTTATAAGAAGTCCATTATATCAACCTATCTTATAGGATCATCATGAGTTCTAGTAAATAAGTCTAAAGTGCTTCATAAATGCTTAATGATGATAATGATCATGCAAGCAGAACCACTTTTGTAGGACACAGAAATGATCTCCCCTGAAGGAAGTATCAACAAAATGTAGACAGGAAATAGTATTTCTTACAGGGAGAGAGTATGCATATTCCTAAGGAAAGGTGATCATTTAAGCTCTGCATATCTAATTGAAGACTAAATGGAGAAGATGATGGTGTCGTGATTGGGTTTATTCAGAATGTAATTGAAGATTCATCTGTTGAAGATGAGACTCATTTTATTCTCTCCTCAAATTGTATAGCACAGGAAGTCATGACCAAGGGAATGTTAGCTTATTCATTCCTATAAAACAGCTCACCTTTTAGCCTCTTTTTCTAAAATTTGCTTACTTTTTTTTATAAGATAGAGAAAAACAATTGAGATATAAGTAGCTAGAGGTAGGACAAATGCATAAAACCCCCTATAATTTCGGAAAGCCTTAAAATTATGTTCTAAGTCAGCTTTAAAAAGTTTTTATGGCTGCTGAGTGGCTGTTTTATTTTCAGTGTGAATTCTTGGGCATAGGACTATGATCATCCATCAGGAGCTTTGCCATGGACCTTCTGCAGAACACTGTGGAACCTTGTCCTCCTGCTGTGACGAGACTTGGATTAATTCAGGTAAAGATTTCAAATTTTCTAATTTCCTTTTGACCGGTTCACTTTTTCTTCTTGTTAGATGTTTTCTTCTTCCCTTCAGTTTTCTTCTTTTTAATATTTTAAATCAAAGTCATATGTTTATTTGAATCCTCGGAATTGTTCTGCCCATACTGCATGCATTTCAATATCTTTTTGGGCTGGATAGCTCAGTTGAATAGACGTGTGCCTAATGAAGCTGAGTATATGGTTTCGATCCTACTTAATGAACTAGCTAAATTTTCACAGAGAAAAATGCCCCTCATTACACAAAAGCTATGGTTTCAGTGTGCTCATATGTTCTGTTGATTCTCAAGTGTGGGAGAGTTTGCTTCCATCTTGAGGAGACAACTGGAGGCAACCTATTCCACAGGAGGAAGGATTAGTACCTGCATACCACAGCTAGTTAATTAGAGAGTGAGTGTGAAAAGTTGAGTACTAGCAAGTCTTAGTAGCTTTGTATGAGACAGTCTCTTCATTTTTGACTTATTAGGCCAACTGGATTGATCTGAATTAATAGTTCTCTGGGA